CTTACACCGTCATAGCATGAGTGATACAACGGAAAAGTAACTGTACAAAAAAAGAATTAACAGGCATGGGGTTCGCAACTGGATTGGCAAACAGCGCCAATCCTGCAAAAATGTTCAAGTCAAATCAGCTGACAATTTCAAGTATTTTGCTGATTAGCAACACCTTTATGCTGTAGGCGCGTTATTTCCTAACGAATTAAGCAATCGCTTCACGAACAATGAACATCAAGGTTTCTGATAGTTTCCAGATCATCTGAACGGAAGCTTCTTACGCACACTGTTTCGCACTGATCGTGCATTAACGGGATCTGCATTTTGCAAATATCTGTTATGAACAAGCATTAATTTATTGTTCTTGTTGATGTCGTCGTCTTCGTTGTTGTTGTTACTGCCGCTGTTGTTGTTCTACACCTTGACCATGGAGACCCGAAACACACGCCCTCTCACTGTTCCATGTTCAAATATTTAGGTGCTTGAAAAATTAAGATTAAATATGACTGGTACTATTGATGCGCTTGATCTTCGCATCAGTAAGCAATGATAGCCGGCCATAATGGACCAATCAAATTAGACTATCCACATTGCCATTCTGCCTTAGGATTGGGTGACCATGCACGTGACCTGCAAAGTGCACATCTGTGATTTACCTTGAAGAAACGTGTTACGACAATGACCCAGAGTGACCTGACAGTTGCAATTCCCTACCCGAGGTGAAAGAAAATGGACTCGCTTCGTGTCTTAGCCAGTTGCTAATTCTTCCCGTTGATATAATTCAGATATACTGTTTACATTTCCGGCAAGCTCAGCTGTTCTCGTCCTGATCCACATTTAGAAAAAAGTACTGTCTATTTTTAACATGCATAGAATGATAACTTGAATAATAAGTGCAATTGATGGTGTTCATACTGTTAAGTTTCTCTATTTTTCCAACATTTAGAACTGGATTACCTTGTCATCTACCTCAAATGAATTAACATTGTCGGAGTTTTATTTGGTAGATTTTCTTTTGCATCTTACAACAGGCAGCAGTTCACCTTGGTTGCGTCAATTCGGTCGTTGCTGAATCGTTAACTACATTTTAAGTTATAATGGATCCTGAATGTCCTTCTCTTCCATCCACTCGTTCCCCTTTCAATAGGTAAATGGGTAAACCAAAGGAAAGTAACCAAAACTGTGCAAGGATAATGATTTTATGAACTTAAGGTGAAATTTTGTGTAAGATTAGGCCGCCCTATTGCAATGATCTTCACTGAACGAAACGAGTCGAGATTTTCCGATTGATAGATCTACATCATAAATTCCACTGACCCTGAATATGTTCAACTTTGGAGTCTGAGTGGATTTAAAAAGGATTTAATTTCTCTATAAACTATACTCTTGCGTGATGATGGTGGTGGTCAAGCGCTTTAATTTGGTGTGCTCCGGGATCTAAGGTTCCGAGTTCAAACCGACCTTTGACATGCGGTCTTGGAGGTGGGCGGCGTCACTGTCATTCAAATGGGCACTAAGCCAAGTCTGCTGAGGCTTGGTCTTGATCCCAACAACCGAACATTAGGTTCTCGTGACCATGGGGTTTACTCCATCTACTACTCATCACAACTAAGGCTTTCATAAAAATCATTTGATTGCTCTCATCATAAATATTTACAAAATATGACCAAGTTACCAGTTTTCTCTAATATATGCTGCATCCTAAACGCTGACGATCACTCTCGAGGTAACTAATTTATCCCTGTTTCTAACACAGGGAATTGAGACACATATCAAAACGACCTTAGCTATAACTCTTACATGCACATGAATGCCCCAGAGCTGCGCAAGCTAATAACGAAGCTGATACCGTTTCTCACCCAATTCACACACTCAAAGTAGTTTGGTTGCATATTTCGTCGGAGAAAAGAACATGTTTGCTTTCTCAATTTGACAGCGGAGACCGTGAACCTGATTGCCTGGGTTGTGATTTATCCTTCGACAGCAAAAGACAAATCTCTGCATGAACTCGGATCGATAACCGGAAATAACTTACACTATTGTTCCGCAAAATTAGTTCAATGAAATCATAGATTTTCTCTTCGATCCTACTTTCAACCTTTCCTGTATTTCTCCTAATGTTTATCTAAATGGGCAGCCAAAAGACGCAACCAATACCGGCGCAGGATAGCGCATAGTTGTAGAAACTGAAACCATTCGTGGTTTATTGCTGGGACACGTGCATACATCTCCAAAACTGTCTCTTGTGGCTGTACGCACGTTCGTTTTCCATTTGCTAACAGGTGACTTAAAGACCGAGTGGAGATACATACCGTATCGCGGTGAGCCTCTAAAGCAAAAAATTAGACGCCATCTCCACGCGATTATCTCAGATAATTACAGCAGTTGATGGTAAACACTTAGTAGTTCGAGCTTTGCCTTATACGTCTCGTTGGATCAGTTCCATCCGACTCGCACATTCTCCAGACGACAAGGCGACCAGTGATGAATGAAGTCCCTGTATGGTAGAAGTTGAATCGATTGACAGGGTCCCCACCTCATATTAATCGCCATTCAAGATATGTAGAAAACGGATTGAAGCAGATGAAGACAAACATTCATTAAGTAATTTTCTCGTGCGTGTGTTTGTGCGTGCGTGTATACGTGCGCGTCTGTCTTTAGAGTCATACATGTTCGATGTAAACCGAATAGGAAATCAATGTCCTACTACAGGTATATACAGATCATAACGCACGAGACAAATACTCATGCGTGTTTTAAGGGGAAATTAAACGACACAGTGGAGATCTCTGGAAAATAAACGGGCGAAAACACAACCAACGGTAAGTGAGCAGATCCCATGGGGGGAATGGATAGAAGTCTCAAGGAACCAGAAGATGCGGGAGGGGGGAGTGAAAGAGGAACACAAATAACACCCTGCCGATAAGTTCTTTGTTGCTCGACAAAACCTTCATTGATAGTGGGCGCTCTACTAATGGGAATATTACAATAAACGAGACAGGGTGTCTGGGTGGAGACAAGTGAGTGGGAGGAACGGGAAAGTTTATACAACACTGAAATGGACAGCGAAGTGAAGTTTTTAGTCATCTCAAGCAGACAATAAAAGCACAAATCTGAGTCACGATCACAACATGTAGGTCACTCTTTACCTCAGTCGGTGTATTTGTGTGGTGGCCGGACGATCCGGATCACAGGGCACATAGCCGTAAACATGAAGCCCGGATCGGTTTAGATCGAGCCACCTCTCGTTTTGGATAGATCAGTGAGCACCCATAATCATGTGCGCACAAAATACCCCCAAGGAGAGGCGATTTCATCCCGGACGCGTTGGAGACCACATGAGTGACGGCATCATCGACTGGTTGGATAGCCATAAATTGACGACGAAGTCGGTGTGTAAAATGCACATCCAAACTTTGCACACAAATGGTTGTGTGAACTTTTGTGATCCAGTACAGACGCGATTGGTTCTGATCCAGCAGCACGATTCGCGCGTCGGTTGTATGCACTATGTGCGACGGAGTGATCCCGAAAGAGACACTAGGTGAGAAATGATGAAATCCATCCGTCTCCAGGTCCAATATGATAATTTTATCCTCTCTTGGACACGTTGCCCAAATAGATGAACGTGCGTAACATAGAAAATATGGGGAAAGCCTTGGTTCATTCAAATACCAAGTACCGGTAACCTTCTGCAAATTCAGCGCCGAAACACGACATATCATCCCGTTAGCCGGTTGAGCCGCGTAGATGTCTCCGGTCGTGTGGTCAATGTCAATTCCAAAAAGCACAGGGTGTTCTAGACGCTCCTGGCCAACACTATCCCTTTCGAACCGGACTGATACATCAAGCATGGGAAAATTTCCCTTTTCTCCTTCCGTGGATTCCGTCGAATCGGTATCGAAGTTATCGGCCTTGTTTAATCCAGCCGCACTACAGCAGACAATAAGACCGTAGTCAGAATTTAAGGAGTTTGTCGAACATGATGGTCCTCCTTCTGTGTTACCGGATTGAGAAATCACACAGGTCATATAGATCAATTTCCCATGAAAACGAACATATTGCACCTGAATTTTTCCTGGAATATCAATTTCCACGGGACCCTGTGTTTGTATCAACCGATCCAAAGACTTGATACCCTTTCGCGGTTCAAAAAGAAAATTATCCCGCTCGATATTAATCTGCTGTCGCCATAATATTAGGTCGCTTCGTTCAACGTCTGTGGTCAACGTACAGCGTATCACAGTGGACGGATTGTTAGTTGACACGATCTGCATATCGACCGGCTGATGTACCTCGCCTGGACGCATGATACAACAATCCTTGCCTTTAGCGAGGACGTGATAAGCCGCATTGTGTTTCATATTGAGTCGAGCGGCCTCCACGTCTCGGTACATGGCATAAGTCGGCATATCTGCAGGAGTGGTTTCTGGACCGCTGGAGGAGGATTTCCTAGAGGAACGGCGAACCCGGCTGCCGAAAGTGTGAAATCGACCCAAGTTCCGCGTAGATCCGCTGGGAGAAACGGTTGAAGGAGTGCTATGGTCGCCTCCTTTGGGAGCAATATTTGAGTCACCATGAGCCGGGGGAGACGGCGGAGGAGCCGTTGGGTTGACCTGTAAATGCTGGAGGAGTTTATTCACATCGTCTAAAATCACCCGCTTGTCAACCTCGCCAATTTTGCCTACTTTTTCGTAGGAGGCAATATCATTTACAATGTAGTTCAGCATTTGCGAACTCACTTGAATCGATGTTTTTCGACACGGTTGGTCGGTGAATGATTCCTCGTTTGGGGATTTCGGATTGGCCGTGGGAGAGGTGGCTCGTACGCGAAGGTCCGAG